TGACATCCATTTCACACCTTGACCAGAACCACGACATGCTCCAAATCCCCTCCTCCGCGTTCAGCATGCTGCCCTTCTCGTCCGCCTCCCTCGTCCACATCTTCTCCATCGGCGCTCAGGTCGCAGCCAGCCTCGTCCTCTCCAACCTCAAGTCCAAGGTCGACGCGACGCGCACCTTCAAGATCGTCGTGGAGCCTACCAAATGTGTCTTGGCCAATACCGTCGCCCCCTTCCCCTACGTTGCCGCAATGGGCTTCGCTGTCATCGTCATGACCGCGCTCGGATCCATCCTGCATGCGAAGCACTTCTTTCCGCCCACCCCTCCTTCAGATACCGACGTCAAGCCCGAGAACGGTTCCTTCACCCCGAACCCGAACCCTCCGCCTACCCCTCCTCCAGACGCCGACACAGAGAGCAACGCACGCAAACGTCGTCGTGCTCTATGGCCATGGATCCTTTTGCTTGTTCTCGGCACGATAGTTCTTCTCGGCCTCTTCCTCGCATACAGATACAGCGTGCCTCCCCGGCCGATTTCCAACCCCCTCACATCCTTTGGCGGCGCTACCGTTGTCTGGATCGAGAAGGGCTTGTCCCCCGTCCAGATGTCTTCTCTTCTCCTTGGGATCAAGCGGCCGATGTCGAGTATTTCCTTCATCGCGCAATACATCGCACTCCAGGGACGGAGCCACTTCTCCCAACACTGGCAGCAATATGTCAGATTCATCCTCGTCGTTACTGGTCACCACCTCTCAATTCTCGTCGGCCGGGCCCTCCGTCGTGGATGTATATATGTCGCGCGTCACCCTCATCGTTACCTCTGGGTCGTGAATTGGTCGCAATCCGGCTTGGTAGTGATTATCCTTGGGCCGGCAAGCGCCCTGGAGAAGGCGTGGATCAACCTTGCCACGAATTTCCTTATTTTCATTCCCATACCGGTCGCCACTATCGTCCTTCCACTGGTCGCATCTTCCTGGCTCCGGGGGTTCCTTTGGGTCGTATACTACTACGGCTACCGCGCGGGCATTCTTCCAAGTCTACCGCAAATGCAGCTGGGCTTCAACTGGATACAACGACCGTTCCTCGTATTTTCCGCGATAGATTACTCCGTACGTGACTCTCATCGTTCCACTATGAGACTCGCTCATATTTCTTCAGATGCTCATAGGCCCTCTCTTCATCCATCTCGGCGTCCTCTTCCTCCTCGCCATCTATTCCCTCCCTCTCATGGTGATCGTAAACCATTCTTTGGCAGTGTTGCGGGGTATTTCAAAGTACGGGCGAGTACGCGTTATCATGCTCGCACTGCAAGCGACGCGTTGTGCCCTCAGGAAGCTTCTCCGGGTTGCCCTCATATTGGTGTCTATTTGCTCGGTCGTGCAACTCTACCACCTGCTTGACGCACCTTCAATGTTCCTCATATGGGACTCGCTCAGCTCTTCGAATGCGAGGGAGGCGCTGTGGGCTCTCGTTTGGTATCGGATTGAGCGGTACAGGGCGTGGAAGGGGGTCCAAGTCTACCACCTGTCGGATGCCTCTCGTCGTGCACTCAATGCGGCTCGGGGGATTTGGGCCGCGATGACCTGGACTCAGACCTTGGTACGCCCCGCAACTCCCATCCTTGTTCTACGCTCATTCTTCCTCTAGCTTATCATCGTGCCCGCTATCATCTTCTATCTCATCGTTGAGTTCGTTGGTGGAGCGTACCGCAAGAGCCTCGAGCGGGAAATACGCGAAATGCTCCGCCACCCGTGGCGCTGGCGTCGTCGGCGGCGGAGTCTGAGAGAAGCACTCGGTTGAGAATCGGTTGGTGGCTCGGTGGACGGGGTGGTAAAGCGCGACTAGAGGAGTAGGAGAAGCGGGCTAGTGGCAGCAGTCGTCATCGCCTGAAGGAGGGAAGGAGCATTCTGGGAAGAAGATCGTGTGGGACGCCATACGACTTTTCGAGACCGATTGTAAACCTCGCCATGGTGAAGATCTTGCTTGCTTGCAGCTGGTTCGTTCTCTCCTTTTCGAGACCATGCTTATCATTGACGCGACATCTTAATTTTCTCAGTGCGGACCCGCTTAGGTCGTCGTCATCACCCTCAATATCGTGCCTCTTCCGACCGCCGAGCTGCAAGTTCCAAATACGCATATTTTCTTCTTCTTATGGACTCAATGTGCTTCTTCTCGTAGTCTCAATGTGCTTCTTCTCGTAGTCTCAATGTGCTTGTATCGTAGAACTAGAACCCAATGCTCGAAACCTTTCTCTCCTTTGGTTTTGTTGAGCGGCCAACGAAGACGTTGGATTTAAACCTTCACAAATACATTGGTCTTATTTCTTGAATATAATTGCGAGCTGTAACGTCCGGATGCTGCTCGAAATCGTACCGTGCATAAGGGCTCCTTTATTTGTTAGCCATTTCCTGGAAAACTCAATGCGAATCGATTCGCACCGTTTCGCCCGGTTGCGGCCGAAAGATGTGATAGCCGCAGGCGAGATCTCTCACGGTTCGAAATGTATTTCACCGTCGATCCAGAGTTATCCCTGCGCTTTATTGCTTTGACGACGACGAACCTTCAACCCCAGTGAGAAGCTTCAACCTTGACGCAGTCGTAAGCGTGTAAAGAACTATCGGACATCTCGGGGATGTTGAATTCCAGTTTTCAACCAGTTTCGTCTCTTTTTGTCTTTTTGTCTGGTGAGGCACAACAGCCTGAGCTAAAAGAAGTCATACAGCGATACAAATATTTCGGGTCATGGCTGCCAACACCCTATGCGAGTTCAATTATATGGGGTGGATACATTCCGCGCGAGTTCGAGTTTTCTAGAATTTGCCTGCACCACCGCCTCAAGTTTACTTCGCGAGGGCGGGCAACCGACCATTTGTGGGTGTGAGTGGGGAACGACCCTTGGCAACCGAGACCATCGACCCGCCGGTTGGGGAATAGTTCTGATAGCGAGGGTGAGACATTTGAAAGCGAAGCTAAGCAATTTAAACCTACTTCTGACTGAGTTCGGCCGCGACGGCGCTCCTGTGGCTCGTCATACTAATCCTGTTGAGTCGAGTGGAGCAGCAACGAGTGAAGCTTACCTTGAACGGGGCTTGTAACAAGTCGGAGGGGAAAAAATCCGAATACAAATCGTTGAGAGGATCCAAGCCCGCTGTCTATCAGGATGTAGGTAGGTTGAGGTGTTGCTGTCGCCGATGAGAAAACCAGTACGAACCACAGGGTCCATCAACTCCGCGGTCGCTGAGTGTGTTTTGGGTGAGGGCGGAGAGATTCCGGGCATCTGGCCGCCGATTAAACGAAGGTAAAGATAAGAAGATGGTGGGGCCTACCGGAGAATCTAGGGTAAAATGTTGTGGGGTGACTTGGCCCTGCAGATCGCGTTAGAATACGAGCAGAATCCAGGGATGCTTCAACATACGGAGAACATCTGCCCTAGCATGCGATCTCCGTTGCCCAATGCCGACCGTTTCCAATTATTAGGGTGCAACGCGCCGGGCCGTCTGCGATTTATCGGCGAGTTGTACTGGAATGGGTTAGGGAAGAGGCGCAGCGGCGAGGGGAAAGACTGACGAAAGAATGAAGATCGGGGTCCACTCCGAGGATTGGGTTTGTGGTGAATTCGGGGCTGGAGGCAAATTGGATGGGCGACATGACGGGGATCTATTGAAGTGATATGAGCTACAAGAAGTGAGAACTCAGCAAGCCAATGCACGTTGAAACCCTCGTCCTGGGAAGCAAACTGAATTGACAGTCAGAGCCGCCCAGAACAGCGAGGAAGGGGACGTACCGCGACAACGAAACCGTTGACGTCAGGTTTTTGGCCTTGGTCCGTGTAGGAACTAGTACTAGTATCCGAATCGCTCTGAAGATTGGGTCGCATGGTTGGGAGAGTTAAAGTTGTGAATACATGCTTACCGTGGGAGATGCACCAGTCAAAGCCTTCGCCTCGGCCTCCTTCTGTATTTGCCAAATGTTGAGGAGGAACCGGTGCGCTGGAGATGCAACGTTGAAGCCTGGCCACGCGCACGGTTAAATCCATCGGACGCACCGCCGCCGATTCTAATCTTCTTGCTCGAATCAACCTGTTCCTTTTCTGGGCTAGACTCGTCGTTTCAGTCTCACGGAAGCCGCTCGACGTACACAGTGCGACATACAGTTTCGATTCCATGTAGACAACATCTGCAATCTCCAAGACGGGCTGAAGAATGGGCCTGAGCCATTGGATGAGTAGTCGAACGTCGCCCTTGACTTGCGCGATATAGGCGCCGATGTATTGGTACAACCCCGTCACGACATTGATGCTCCCCGGGCCAGCAACGAGCTTGGGATTGGCCTTGGTAAAGATAGCTTTGAGGACGTTGTCGGCGGTGACGGCACGCTGGAGAGTCTATTCGAAATTAAGAGGAGCTGGCGAGTGTACTAGACCAAGATATTCAAACCGTCGAATACCCAACCGGCTTTCCAACCAGCCCCTCCGACTGTATAATTATCTGCACGATGCCGTGCTCAAGAGCAGCCTTCCCGCTAGTCTCGTGGGATGCTCGAAGTGCCTTTCGCGCCGCTGCACCCGCTGGCGAGGTGTCGGCACAGTCCCAGCTAGCGTCGTCGAGGGGCGGGAAAGCGAATGACGGGCGATATTTGAGCCCAGAGGCGAACGCGGCGAGTTCTGTGTTCAAGTCGCGGGTGACACGGTTGGAGGACATCGCGGGCGAGAGGGATTGTAATCTGGGGATGGTGGTTTGAACTAGGGTCTCTTCTTTGCCATTTGGGTTTTGACTGGCGGGTCGATTATTGACGGCGCAACTCCTTTACGTACGTTACCCCGTACGGTGTATTTCCAACTGGGGCTGGGTTTTTGGTTGGACAAACTAGAACTGCGCAGAATTCAAGGAATCGAGCAGCGAGAAAGCATAGAAAGTATGGGGCAACTCTAAAACTCACTGTGAGTTGATGGGCCATCCCCCTTAATTTCTAGGCATATTGTATTGAGCGTCGGTAAATATTGTGTCCACTATGGTACAGTGGTTAACTTGCGGCATCGTCGGTTGGACGAGTGCAGCACGTCGAAGGTTCGATTCCTTCGGGTGACACAACAACCATCCTTTCAGAGCCGGGCCCTCTGAGCACTGCTCCGCGCCCGCGTGGGGACACAGGGGCTAAGCACTTCTCTCTGTGCGATACTGTGTCTCCGGTTGTTTTTTGGTGCCAGTGAGTGAGGTCTTCGATTTCAGTGAAGGTATCCTGCCTGAGATCCCGCGTTCTGCCCCACGTCACCACACAAAGTTGCGAACCAGTCCAGACAGGTTTTACCCAATGGCGAAGCTGCGCTGCCCTGTGGACTGGGAAACGGCAGATGAAAACGCAGACTTGCGTTGTTCAAGCGTTGTTTATCCTGGGATCATTCAAGTGACACTCACTTACGAGTCTAGAGTACAGGTGAAATTGTAGGAGGCCGTAGCGTGCCCCGATTTAAGTTCGTTAGAGTGGTTCAAAACCGTGGGACACTTTTTCGAACCTCATCACCATCTATTCACTGCCTCTCATGGTGATGGTAAGCCATTCTTTGGCAGTATTTCTAGCTCTCCGACCTTCATCTCGGCCTCTCCGGACGCTGCTCCCAGTTCGGCCGTGGGCTCTGCGTCAACACGGTCGATATCCCGGGGAAGCAACGAGCCGGGTCGGGTGCTTGTGAGTCTTACTTCGCGTATTCGCTCCTTCACTGATCACTCACTAACGGGCGAGCTTGAGGGGATGTTTGGGTGAATACCTCCTTCTTCGTAGACCCAGCGACGGGTGAGGCGGCGGTTTTTGCCCCGCAGTTGGTGCCCGTGAACAAATCATCCTGTTATTTCACATTAAGGTCGAGTCCGCACCGGCTGTGGCAGGTGACGACGTTCACAAGCGGCTGCTTGACGTGTTGGAGAGATAAATGTATCCAGGCTTGAATGTCCCGTCGTAAGGTGCCGTGCGGCAGAGTCTTTCGAGTTGTAAATGTAATCCGATCCTTTCACTTACATCTTGCCCTATCGAGGAGTTCTCTCGGTGTCTATGTAGAAGGATAGATATTGCATTGTATTTCCCAACTGAATCTAGCGTCGACTACTAAGAAATCGAACCGCAGTTGTTTTTCTTTGCGAGTAGCAAAATTCATTGGGGTCGCTTAGGTCTAGAATCCGAGGCGCCGAAGCTCGGTTTGGCGCCGCCGATATTCACTCTCCTCCCTAGAGCCTCTGCAGTTACGTTTATGTCGGTTCAAGACGGCAGCTGTTCCGAAGGATTGGCCGCAGTCCTCGCATTTGAAGACTTTCACTGAGTTGTGTGAGTTTATGTGATCTAGTATTAGCAGTGAGCCAGACTGTTGCTGGAGAAACAGAAGGAGACCCACTCTTCAAATTGTGTCTGGCAGTGAAAGTATTTCCACAAATTTCACAGATGAACATTTCGGGCTTGTTGCGGCGAGTGGAGCGAGCTTCACGATGAGCAGGAAGGGAGTGCCCAACCCCCTCGATGGAGGCTCCTGGATGTCTCGCCGGAGGGTCGACAGCAAGCGGCTCTCCAAAATCAGAATCCCAGGCGGGCAGAGTCATCGACAGATGGGATTCGACTCGGAATTTTTCGATACTTTTGTATGGGAGGTTGGCTGCTCCGTCAGACGGGAGGTCGAGAGGTGGGTCATGATATCCAGAGCCATAGCGAGAGGGCGCGGTCGACGAACTGGAGACAGCCTCTAGCTCAGGAAGGTCCATCACGGACGAAGCAGAATATTGAACCGATGAATGTCGAGTTGAACTTGGATGCAGTCGTCCTTTTCGAGGTGCTTCTGAGACATGCGAGTCCCGACCCGAGGGTTCGGATGCTCGGGCAGAGAGTTTTCCTGCCGAGGGAACCCAAGGCAACATCGAGGGAAGAGTCAATTCCTCGGACTTCGATACGAGGAAAATTAAACCTTAATAAGTTCAATTTACGTAAGTTCGGATGAACCGTTGAACGTCAAATACTCACCGTCTTCCTCTTTGAGGGTAGACTGCTCGAACATGACTGCAAGTAGTTCTGTAGTATCCTTAATTGCTGCTTCGGTACCATCCTGAACGTAACATGTACATCAATCATCGAACGAACATGATTGAAAAAAAAAACATGCATCACGAAGAACATCTCGCCAGTCATCGTCGTGTGTTATTACCACTCGTGCCTCCGGGCACTAAGTCATCAGAGGATTTAGCGCCCTGAGGGTACAAACATCAAGACCCTCACCTCACGAAGAAGACAGGTGTTGATGAGTTGACCCGGATGAACGACCTGGAAATAATTGGTAAGAATTCCCCAATAATTCAGCACATGCACTTACGACTGAAGTAGGGACAAAATCAGACATCGTCAGTTCGTCGCCGGTGTTGTCGGTGTACTTTTCCCCCCCAGCTCCGCTTCCTCCACCGAAAAAGTTGAATGACCACGAGGAGAGGGATCCTTGTAAGCCAAATGGCACGAAGTCGCTTCGCGCATCCTGCATTTCCGAGTCTGCAATTTCACGAACTTTCACGCCGAAAAGTCGTCCCCATATTCCTTCTCCGAGCGAGATACTGAATCCGTGGAGGAACGTCGTCTGATTTAGCGTGCCTTCATCGCTGCGAGCCGAAACATCGAAGTGTTTTGTGCGAGCTGGAGTCCCTCTGACAAAACGGTACCTGTAGTCGTCGTCGGCATGGGCCGTCGGGCGGAACGAGAGTTGGAATTCTGCGCCGGGTGCAACATTTTGAAATGACGCTATGCCACCAGAAGCCGACTTTTCGCAGCCGGTGATAAGGTATAGGGAGCCATTCGTGAGGGCGCGACCCCTGGTTCCGTTGATATATTTGTACCAGCTTTCTGCGTGGCAGGCGGCATATTGGCGTACATGTTCCACGTCTTCAAGTTTCTCGAGTCGTGCGCCATGTGGAAGGGCCAGAACCGCTCCGCTGGGGCCCTGGCAGCTGAACAGGAATTCACTTCCCGGAAATTCGCTGTGGTGACGGTCACCAACATGTTCAAAGGCGAAGAAGAAGGAAAAACTTCACATACCCGGAAATGGCATTCGGATCCCATGCCTGAATAAAGGCAGACGCAACATAGTTCCCGGGATCAAACTCGACGTTGATTATATCGCGCGGAATAGAGCGTCGCAATGGAGAAAAGTCCCCCGGAACGAAGTCCGCATTTACTGCGTGGTCCCCATCGAGATAAATGTTGAAGAAGAAATCGAACACCCCCTCTGGTGTTATTCTTCCAACGTCGCCGATCGTGATACCGGTTCGCCGATACTCTTCAGGAAGATTCTTCTGCGGTCCGGGGACATACAGCGGGAAGCCGCGCCCTTGCCGCAGCAGATGACTGCAGTAACTGGCACTGTCGGAGCAGACACTGCCCAGTGCGTCCCGCGATGTCGAAAGCGGAGGATTTTCAACGGAAAGTGCTTGAAGATGAGGCGTCCCGGTGTAAGGGGAGTTATTGCTACCCAAAGGCATGGCATATGTGGTCGTTGGATATATGTTTAAATTGCCCGCCACGTTGTTGAACTCCTGGGATCCGTGAAAGCCAACGTGGGTTGCGCTCTGAAACATGTGGCCGGCGGAACTGTTTTTTGCCGTTGGATGAGAACTGAAGAAGCCAAGACGGTCGTGCGTACCTTGGTCCAGGAAAACTCAGCTCATTACGCCAATCAGGATGCGCTGCTGGGTTATAGTCGTCGTGGACAACTGGTGTCTCTTGATCCATAGGCGAATCATAATAGACATCATACTCAGGCTGGTCGTCGAACATCTGCGCGGTGGGGTTGGGTGGGGGCACGGTGGGACCGAGCCTTGGAAAGGGGATGCAGTGAGGTCCCTACAGCATTTTATTAGAAAGCGGAAGCCGGGCTGTGCATGTGTCGACGCATTTGCCCTGGCAGTGTTGAATGATGCCGGATATGCTGCTTTATCTAAATCCAGTTCGCACCTTGTCCCGTCACTGACGTTGTCGGCGCCTGAGGTGTTTCCAATCTAGGTGGCAAAAAAGGCCGTGGGAGGGCTACGCCAGTGGGAGCGTCGACACGCATCGCGCGCGAACATTCGGAACGAAAGGGTCAAGAGAGAGCTCAAGAGAGCCGCTAAATGCGAATTCACTGGGAGGCGACATGACGCAGCGAGATAAACTTGGAGAAGGGCCTCAGGCCCAGTATGTCGCCGCAAATGTATGTTTATTCCGACGACCGGCAAGGCGTGAGGAATCATTCCGCTAGCTTCCCACTCAACTTCAAGTTACTGTACATGCGACAACTTGAAGATGCCGCCCAAACGCCGCCATGGGTTTTCAGACCTGACAGCGCTGAAATAATTTGGATTTTCTGTTTTCCCAGCGCGCCAGTTGTGTCGTGAAGAGTGAATGAATTCTGAGTCGAAGTGTTTCTTGCCAGACGGACGTTGAGGCCTATGTCACATGTGACAGTGAAACCCGGACTAACCCGGAGGGCCGACATCACTCTCCCTCTTGCCTTTGCATGTCTCCGCTCCTTTTCTCGTCGCTGCGCCAGGCGGCCCGCCCCGCCCTACGCCAGCGGGTCCGCTTCAACTCCACCCAACCAACTCCCGAGAAAAAGGCGCAAGAGGTCATCGCCAACGCCCAGAAAAGCGCTGGCCAGCTCTGGGAGTCCGCAACGAAGAAGGCGGAAGAGGTCGTTGGCTGTGTGTCCTACTGCTCGGAACGCATTCATTACCCTGCCTAAACTACGTCCTTCCAGCGTCCGAAACCATCTCGAAAAACGCTGAGAAGCTCAGCAAGAACGCTGGTCAATTATGGTCTTCCGCGAAGACGACACTGGGACCGGCTGCTGAAAAGGCCGAGGCTGTGGTTGGATGTGCGCGTCGCTGCACCATGTTCGATGCCATAGAACTCACTGTGCGTTTATAGCGACCCTCGAACGCCTCGGGCCCACCGGAAAGAAAGCCGCAGAGATGATCGGGCGTGAGTAACGCTCATCCTCTCTGTCGGTCACCTGTATTAACCCGCGGCAACACACTAGCTGCGCGCAAGTCGCTCTTCTACAACTTTGCCGTGGCACGCGAGCTGGCCAAGC